ATTAGAAATAGTAGCAAAACATCCTGATGGAGTAAAACACAAGTGATCTGGATACAAATACATCTCTTATATTTTATAGAATAATGTTGTCTCATGAGGAAATTTAACATCCCATAAAAAAATTGATCCATCATAACTTCCTGATGCCAACCATTTTGAACAAAAAGAGAACTCCAAACATATTACATATGAAGTATGTTCTTATAACATAATGATAAAGTTTTTTTCTATTAAATCCCATAAAATAATTGAATTATCATAACTACATGATGCTAGAATAAGACCATCTTTTGAGAAAGTAACTTAATTTACATATTGTTGATGTCCTTTTGATATTTTTGATTATTCACTTAATTCAATATTCCATAATTTAATTTAGTTGTCATCACTTGCAGAAGCCAAACATTTTCCATCAGGTGAAAAAGATAATTTATTAACCCACTATGTATGACCTTCAAATACTGCTATTTTCTTTCTAGCATCCACATTCCACAAAAATATCTTTTAATCTTTACTACCTGATGCTAATAATTATGTTCTTTAAAAGTAACTCAAACATGTAATAGCATCTTCATGTTTTCCTAAAATAATTTCCTTTTGGTATATATCAATTCTCACCAGTTATATATTTTTCTCTTAACCAATACAAATAGTGTTTTAATCAATTTCAACAAAACAATTTATTTACTCGTACAAATTTTTGTAATCATGTTTCTCTTTTTTTAAATCCAATCTATAGACCCTAATAGCTTTAGATCCTGTAATAATTTTTGTATCATCTTAAGATATTATAAAAGAACTTATATCTTTAACATCATCCTTCTTTTCATAAATACTTACCATTTAGACTTATAACAACCAATCTAAATTTATTAATTTTACTTTATTTTAATATAAGACAGTTATATAATCAAAACCTGGAGTAACTGACAACTTCTTAACTTCTGACTCAAACTATAAGGAACATTAAATTTTTAATTATTTTTATTCATCAATTGACAATATAGTGACCTAATTGTTATTTAAATAAGTATATAAAAATTAACCATTTTTTTTTAATTATTGTGGCAATATCCGATTACTATCAAAAGTAATCAAGTATGTATTATGAGCAATTTCATATAATTTGGGATGGCAATCTATGCGTTCACAAAAAATATCTTAATCATTTTAAGAATTCGTTGATTATTTAAATTATGTTTCAAATAAATTAAACTGTTAAGAAACAAGATTTAGGATACCTTGACCACTTTCATCTTTTAATAATATTTGATCTTCAGAATCAAAAGAATTTATTTGAAGCACTTTATTTTCTAGAGATATAAAGTTATTTTGTTATTTTGTTTTTATTTCTCTAATTAGAAAATTAGTATTAGGTCTGTAACAAATATAATCATTATTAATTGACCAATAGAAATAATCTAAATTATTATTGACATAAGTTTGAATTTCATAGATATTGGAAGAATCTTCCAGATTGAATAATTTTAATGTATTTTTACATTCGATAATTAGAATCTATTCATTTTTTATGAGTTTTATACTTTAAATCTACTCACAAATATTCAAAGAAAATATTTCTTCTTTAGAATCAATTCTTATTTTCATAATACTTTTATTTTTAAAAAATAGGCAATATTAACTATCTTAAAAGAAATATACTGTATTAATATCAGTATCCAATATAGCTATAGATTTAGCATTTTTCCAATCATAAATTTCAACACTATAATAATTGGTAACTAGATATCCATTTGTTAAAAATTGGGCAATTTTTCTTTAAGTAGGGATTATTTATTTTAAATTGCATATCTACAGAGGGATAATTTTTATATGTCCATCCACTACACATACTAGATTTTAGTCATTATAAGTTAGTAATGATTCTGTAACTGTGCCATCAGGGTTATAAGCACTAATCATTTCTATTTTATTCTCAGAATATTTCCAAATTCTAATATATGTTCCAGCAGTCACAAACTATTTACCATCCTTTAAGAAATGAATACAATTATAAGATGACTCTTAAGGAAGTTAATAACTAATAATTAAATCTCCTGTATTTTTATTCCAAAATCTTAAATTTTTATCTTTTAAATGTAAATGTACAAAATATATTCCATCTGGACAAAATTAAATTATAGGATAGTTAGATTAATTTTCAACTTTTAATATTTCCTTATCCTAAATAAAGTTCCATAGAATGACATCATAATTATAGTAAGATTTTATCAAAGCCAAAGTCTAATTATCATTTGAAACTAAAATATCTCCATTAATGGAAAATTCTAATTTTTTATTCTTTATTTCTGATCCTTTAATTTCATCGAAAATTCTGAGAATATCATATTTGATGTAAATAATAAATAATGAACCATCAGGTGAATATGCAATTTAATCTATCTGAACACTTTCATCAACCTAATTAAACTTTTAACATTCAAAAGGAGATTTACTAATATTCCAAAAATATAAATTTCCATCTTCATAAATTACAGATAGTACAGGTTTGCATGGGGAAAAGGCTATTTTCTTAACTCTTCCTTTATTTTCAATATTATCTATCTTTTTTTTTTCTTTAAAATCATAAAAAATTAATTCTTCTTCTTAATTATAATAATTATAATACCAAGCAAATACTTAATAATTAGTTGAGAATGAAAAACATCGAATATATTTATTGAATTCACAATCAATTTTGTAGGATTCACCCAAATTTTATTTTTTATCATCGTATATTATAATTTCATTGTAATTTGATTAAAATGCTAGATCCTCATAATAAATTATATTTTATTTTTCTGATTCAGAAATGATAACTTCTTAAACTGTATTCATATCCAAAATTATTTATTATTCATTATAGTACCTACTCCATTGTTGTTTAATTGTTAACATTTATTCATTACTATCAAGTTAAATTTTATTAATTTATTTATCAAAAGTGATACTATTAATAATTACTTAAGTATTCAGATCATATATATGAATTAT